TACAATAATAAGTATTATTATAAAAAGAATTGTATTTTAATAAAGAAATTGACTTAAAAAGGGTGTAAATTAGGATATATCTAATATTAAATTTTTAATATTAAGATAAATATATAACGGTGAGAAACTTATTCCTAATACTACAAGTCCTTGATTTTTTTGCAATCTAGAAATAAAAAACTGTAAGAATTTTCAATTAATGGATGTCAAAACAGGATAATAACAAGCCAAATTTGATGGTCATACTAGTTTTGTCTACTCAGTCTGTTTCTCTCCTGATGGAAATACATTAGCTTCTGGTAGTTATGATAAATCTATCCGTCTATGGGATATAAAGAATGGAAAAGAAATTTAATCTGATGACAAAAATTATAAATATATTCTTACCTAGTTTTAAATACCACTTTAGAAGAGCTCATTATTACCAAATAGTATTTATTATTTATTATTATTTAGTTGGGCCAGATAGTACAATACTTAGGATTTGTTAGAATTTGAATAAAGGTTTTAATTCTTTCCCTAAATGATAGATGAATTCTCCTTATAAGATAAGTGTTCCTTAAGCTTCTAATAAAGGATCTAAAGGAAGTTGATTTTTAGAAGACTTATAGAAATAGTGATTTTGATCATTATCAAACAACAATTATAATTACAATCAATATCTAACATTTTTTTAATTCCGTCTTTATTAGTTTCACTCTTTATCTTCACCTCTAAAGCTAGGTAAGTTCTGATTTTTCAAAGATGTATTCTATTTAAGTTATATATACATTACATTTATTTGAATTTTATTATATTATATGGCCAGTTTAGTGTAGGGATTATTTATTTAAATATCATATAACTGTTATCAATTAATATTTCTTGAGATTTTATTTTAAATGATACTACTTTACATTATTAATCTAAACAGAGAACAATAAGAAAAATGAAAAGATTTAATAAAGATCGATATAATTTCTTAAAGAGTACTTAATTAACACAACATTCTTTTATAAACATCAAGGATATTATATGATAGATTCACTTAATTTATTATTTATTACAAAAGATTAGTCTTAACAAAATAATTAATAATTTTGTAATATTAGTTCATAAATAGTAAAAGATATTTTTTATACCAAAAGATAAGAAAAAATGATACATCAAGAATATTTAAAAAATAAACTTAATATTAGAATGATAAAGTAAAAAATTAGATTGGACGATATTTCATTTTGAAAGTAACATCCCAATCACCTTTGATTATTATTCTTCAATTGATATGAAAATTATTAGATTTTATAAAAGACTGAAAAAATTAATTAATCATCAAGAAATCCGATATCGTTGAAAGGATTAAGATTTATGGAGATAATTATCTCCTTACTGAGATTATGTATAATCTTTGTTAACTTCAATAGGATTTTCACTAAATTAATTAATATATCTAAGCAAAATATATCCTTAACACTTCTTTCGTTTTTTAAAACTGTAACCTTTTGATGAACTCATCAACTTGTTACATGTTAAAGTTAATTTAATTCACTAATAAATTACCCAAAAATTAATATTAAATAATTCAAAAGCAAATCTAATAAGAAAAAGAATAATAATAGTAAACTATATATATCAATAATGGATAAGTTAAAATATTTTAATTTTTCATCTCTAAAAATTAGATAACCCCTCTTCAATATTAGATTAATTCGATAAAAAATTTATATAACAAACAAAATTTAATACAAGAATCTATGCTTATTAATGATGAGATATTCTATATTATTAAAAAATAAAGCAATATGAATGTTGAAATAAATTCTCAATAGCATAATTAACATCTATTACAATCAATTCCAAATCTACACAAAGTCCTAACTTCTATTTTACAGAAATGCACAATATACTTTTGTCGATTTTGCAGCATATAACTTCAAGTTAGAGTAATAGAAATTCATTATTAAAAATAAAAAAAGAAAATGGGGTGCTCTTTTTTAAAGTAGGGAGTTCTGGTTTAAAAAACACAACTTTTATCGTTCCCTAAGCTTTTTCCAACTGGAGCTGACATCTTCGATGAAGTAAAAGATGTAGATAAAAAACTATTTGGTGTCATATTAGAAATATTAAGAAAGGAGAAAGTAAAAGATTGCATAGGATTTCTATCAGATATTAGGAATCGGAGACAATTAGAATCATAAATCTTATAACAAGCAGGGAATTTCACCAAAACTGATACATAATAGAAATTGTCTGTTGTAAGAAAAGACATGAAATTAATTATAGATGTCTTATAAAAATTAAAAGACCATGACTTAAATTAAAAAGACTTTTCATCTGAAGAAAATTAAGAATCTACATTAAATCTAATTAAGAGCATCAATGATAATAAATAGATCATAGAATTTTTGGAATTTTTAGTTGTCCTCACATCTTTAGATGACACTTTGATTCAATGTGGATCAAACTCATTACATTCATTAGTTGAAATGAGGGTGGACCTTAGAAACAAAAATTTTGAAAAAATTAAGATAAAAAATATTTCGTTAGAAGGAGCTAATTTTGTTGGATGTAATTTTAGTGAATCCTAATTAAATAATGTCAACATAGGTGGAATAAATCTGAATGGAACATAATTATTTAATTGCAAATGGAGGGACTTAAAAATCCCTGAATTAAAAAAATTAAATGGTCATATTTATGATATCTACTCAGTCTGTTTCTCTCCTGATGGAATTACAATAGCCTCTGGTAGTTCTGATAACTCTATCCGTTTATGGGATGTCAAAACAGGATAATAAAAAGCCAAATTAGATGGTCATAGTTTTGGTATCTACTCAGTTTGTTTTTCTCCAGATGGAAATACATTAGCTTCTGGTAGTCACGATTATTCCATCTGTCTTTGGGATACTAAAACAAAAAAGAAAAAAGCCAAATTAATTGTTCATACTAACACTGTTAACTCAGTCTGTTTTTCTCCAGATGGAAATACATTAGCTTCTGGTAGTGATGATAGGTCTATCCGTCTTTGGGATGTCAAAACAGGATAATAAAAAGCCAAATTAGATGGTCATAGTTTTGGTATCTACTCAGTCTGTTTCTCTCCTGATGGAATTACAATAGCCTCTGGTAGTTCTGATAAATCTATCCGTTTATGGGATGTCAAAACAGGATAATAAAAAGCCAAATTAGATGGTCATAGTTTTGGTATCTACTCAGTTTGTTTTTCTCCAGATGGAAATACATTAGCTTCTGGTAGTCATGATTAGTCTATCCGTCTATGGGATGTCAAAAAAGGATAATAAAAAGCCAAATTAGATGGTCATACTAGTACTGTCTTCTCAGTCTGTTTCTCTCGTGATGGAAAACAATTAGCTTCTGGTAGTGCTGATAAGTCAATCCGTCTTTGGGATGTCAAAACAGGATAATAAATAGTTAAATTGGACGGTCATTCTCATATTGTCTTCTCAGTCTGTTTTTCTTCTTGTGGAAAAAAATTAGCTTCTGGTAGTGTTGATAGGTCTATCCGTCTTTGGGATGTCAAAACAGGATAATAAAAAGCCAAATTGGACGGTCAAACTGGTTATGTCTATTCAGTTTGTTTCTCTCCAGATGGAAATACAATAGCCTCTGGTAGTTCTGATAACTCTATCCGTTTATGGGATGTCAAAACAGGATAATAAAAAGCCAAATTAGATGGTCATAGTTATGATATTTACTCAGTTTGTTTTTCTCCAGATGGAAATACATTAGCTTCTGGAAGTGATGATTCATCTATTAGTCTATGGGATGTCAAAACAGGATAATAAAAAGCCAAATTGGATGGTCATACTCATTATGTCAACTCAGTCTGTTTCTCTCCTGATGGAAATACATTAGCTTCTGGTAGCGATGATAAGTCTATCCGTCTATGGGATGTCAAAACAGGTTAATAAAAAGTCAAATTAGATGGTCATCGTGATACTGTTAGATCAGTCTGTATTTCTCCTGATGGAAATACATTAGCTTCTAGTAGTAATGATAAGTCTATCCGTCTATGGGATGTCAAAACAGGTTAATAAAAAGGAAAATAGGATGGTCATGGTAATTGTATTAACTCAGTCTGTTTCTCTCCTGATGGAAATACATTAATTTCTGGTAGTTGGGATAACTCTTTCTGTCTATGGGATGTCAAAACAGGATAAGTAATTAAATCCTCTGATAAAAACTACAAAGATATTCTAGCTTAATTTAAGGCACCAATTTTTTAGAACAATCCTCAACCATGTATTTGTTATATTATTATTGCTTAGTCTCTAATTATTCAATTCTTGTCATATCACAAGAAATAATATTGGAAGCATCAGGTACACTTATCTTATAAGGAGAATTTATAAACCATTAAGGAAAAGATATGAAACCTTTATTTAAATCTAAAGGAAGTTGCTTTTTAGAAGACTTAAAGCAAAAATGAATTTGATAATTTATCAAACAACAATTATAATTACAATAAATATCTAGTATCTAATATTTTTTTTAATTCCGTCTTTATAAGTTTCACTCTTAATCTTAACTTCTAAAGCTAGGTATTTTCTTATTTTTTAAAGTTTTATTCGATTTCAGTCATTTATTCAATTCATTTATTTAATATTATTAAAATATAAGATCAGTTCAGGATAGGGATTACTTATTTAAATATCATAAAAATTTTTATCAATTAATATTTATAGAGATTTAAATTTAAATGATACTACATGAAATTAATAATCTAAACAGAGAACAGTAAATGAAGAGTTTAAAATAAAGATAGATATAATTACTTAAAGAAAACTAATTTTACACTATATTCTTTTTAAATTATCTACGATATAATATTATTTAGAATAGGGATTGATATTAAAAATAATAAATTAATAATTTTTTAAGATTAAGGTTTAATTCATAAATCGTAAAAGATATATTTTATTAAAAAGATAGTAATAAAGATACTTCAAGATTTCAAAAATAAACTTAATCTTTTAAATAATCTAACCTATCACAAAATTAAAACATTGAGATTGAATGATTTTTAAAATTACTCTACTCTATTCTTGCTAATACCTTCATAACCTATTTAATTGATATTAAAAGTATTAGCTAGTTTAAAAGACTGAAAAGATGCATTAATTATCAAGAAGTATTATATCCCTTAAAAGGATTAAGATTTAAGGAGATACTTATTATTTCTTTCCTAACAACCAACTAACAATCATAAATACTGATTGACTTAAAGAATTATGTGAATTTTTACTTACATCAAATAATTAACATTTATAAATCGCTGAGATTATGTACACAGCTTTTTAAGAGTTAAAACTATATATTCATTGTTAACTTCAATAGGATTTTCACGAAATTAATTAATATCTAAACCAAAAATAATATCCCTTAAGACTTGAAAAACTCATCTACTGGTTAAATTTTACAATTAAATTAAATCAATAAATTATCCATAATTTATAATAAATAAAAAGCAAATTTATTGTAAAAATTAAAGGAATTAATGAATAAAAGTAAACCACACATATTAAATCTTTAAAAAAAAACGAAATTTTCCTTCTCTTTATAAATGAGATTAACCACCTATAATGAAATTGGATGATAAATTTGTAGAACTAACTAAAATATATTAAAAGTATAAAATTAATGATAGAATTCATTACCCTCACATAAATTTATGAGAATATTTTGTTATATTACAAAATAAGTATTCACATATATATAATTTTTGAAAATTATAATTTAAGAATTTAGGTTTATTAAGATTTTATAAAATACAGATTAAGCGTTAC